TTTGCTTGTGATTATGTTGCACTTATCTTTCTTGAATGAAAGAAACCTCCCCCTCCATTATAGATAAGTTGTTCCCAGGTAGTTTGAGGATGTGGAGTAAGGTTTTTAGTTGCATCAGAAGACCAGTTGCCAAGGAACTAATGAAGACCATTGAAGGTCCTGACCTGCATCAGTGTGTCAGCTTTAATGCAAGCTCTCATCAGAATGTGGTTACTCCCTAGCAGAGGAAGAAAGAAAAGTGGTAACTAATTAAAGAAAGATATTTAAGTCAGAAGATGCAGCTTTGAGAGTGAGTACCATCACTTACTAATGGTTGTATGATTCTAGTTTAGACTTGTTATTTCAGTTTTATTTTCCTTATATGGGTGACTAGGACTATTATAATACTACTTACCTCAAAAGGGTATAGTGAGCCAAATGAACCAACATATGAAGAATGAGTTTATAAAACACTATGTAATTAGTAAATAGTATAACTTCTATAAGCTAGCATGATGCCACTGGAAATTTCAATTGTACGTTAAAGCATAAGGAACACAAGTTGTTTCTGCCCCTTTCTCAGTTTGTAGTTGTTTAAAATGCATAGTGCCTTGACATATCTCATCCTGAACACTATGAAATCACAATGATTTCAGATGAAAGGGCCAAAACATATAAGGGAGGGTATGTGTGCAGGCCCATGCAAATAGCAGGAGGTGTTATTAACAAGATCTTTGCAGTATCACAATTGAACAGGTTTAAGAGAACTTCCTCCAATACATGATGCTGAAAATATATTTTTTGTCCACTGACTCAGTCGACATTCTATACAGCCAAATAACCACAGTAGTTTGAAAGAATAATAGAATCTCTAATCAGAAGTTATTGGAATTTTGAAATTCTTACACTTTGGAGGCATGGAGTAATAAATAATGTTTAAAATCAAAAAGTTTTATAATAAGAAAATGTTGAGTGAGAGAGGATCTTGTTCACGTCACCAATGTCTCTGAACTCACTCTCACACTGTTATGTGCTTGTCATAAATCACTAGTCAGTTGATTGACTATTTAAGGCCTCATTCTCCCTCCCCCACCAGAAGGAGAGTAGTAACATCTGATACTCTTTATAACCAAGGGTTGCCAGGATCCATTTTATAAACTGCAATGAGGGCAGAAAGAAAAAAAGTATATAAAAATATTAATGTTACTTGGATGCAACCTACAAAATATTTTATAATTTTTTTATTCTCAGAGAAACAAACCAACCAGAGTTAATCAAGCATAGTCTGCACAGATGAGTAGGTCTGTACACATCAATGGGCATATGCAGTGGATGGTAAAAACATATGGAACATATCACATCCCAAACACCAAAGAGTTCTGAGGAATAATTAATGAGATGCATAAATATGGACAAAATAAGCCCATTTTTGTATCTTCACATTATTAAACCTAGAACAAATCTTCCTTCTGCTAGTTGGTTTATCTTATAACAAATTTCTGACACAAAAGAACATTTGTTTCATATTTTATTGAATTTCATTTATATTAAATTAAAAATATATTTCTGACAGATTCATGTAACAAAAAGGCAGAACAGTTTTCAAATTGTTCAGCTGGGATGATCAGTATGGAATGAGGCAAAGCAGTTCGCATTCTATAATTGCCTTGTACAGGTACAATTCTTTCCCAAGAGCCAAAAGAGGATCCTTGAGAACTAACTGAAAAGCCTAATTACATAAATTTAAAATACTGTTTCTCCCTCATTCTCAAATAACAACAGGAATGAGGGAAAGGAAGGAGGATGGGTAAAAGGTTGGAGGAGAAGAAAGAATAAGAGAAAGTATACTAAAAATATACCTAACATTAAAAAAGTTAGTATGTGTTAGGTGCATACTCCTTCATCAATAACATAGAAAAAAATCAAAATAACATTACACCACACACAATTGGCATATCCTATTGTGTAAGCGAGTGCAGAGGTTGAACACATCACAATAGTGCTGAACACAGAATCACAAGTAATGTCAAAATGATAACTTCCAACCAAAAATGAAACAATCACAAGCCAATTACTTATATACAAATCAACCCTAAAGACAATTATGTTCCAAATAAAGATGTCCACAAAAGAAAATCAAAGCAACATTATACTTATTTACAAATGCAACTAGCCATGTCTTTAACAAGCTATAAAAATACTATTCACATTTTCAAACATACAGTAGTATTTTTTGTTTGTTTATTTCAAAAAGGCAGCTAACTTTGAATGCATGGATTTAAATAAAACATTGATGGCTTACCAGCAAGGTATTTTTGCACCCCAATCCTTTGAAGATACTTCACAAGAGAGAGGGCTTGTTTTCTGTTTACAAGTTAAGAAAATAAGGAAATGAGTACAAATGTATATACCTTAAGCCTCTGCCTTTTCAGTGAAGTGACTCCCTCTCTCACCTAAACTGATGTCAGTAAATTACTTTGATGCATGTGTCAGATGAATGTTTGAGAGTAGATTTAAGATGACTTTTTCTGTGCTATGAATTGTCTTGCACATTGATCTCATGTTCATTTGATCTTCTTGTAATGGTGCTCAAGAAAGAGATGAACTAGTCATACCATGTGAAAATGCGGTTTCAACATGCAGCCACGCAATCCCTGGTGCTCTCAACATGAGAAGGAGACACACCAGCCAGGGAGACATGCATTCAAAGTTAGCTACCCTCACACAGCTGCTCCGTTTAATAATCGACCCATTTCACAGCAGTACCAGTTTATGCTACATATTTCAAAGTACCTTACTTTAAAAGAACACCTTACATATCTACATGTAGAAAATAACTTTCGAAGTTGATTACTGGAGTAATCCCAAAAGGGTTCTTGGAGTGCTATGGTTGTAGTCCCCTCACTCCCCCCTCCCAGCCCCTGAGAGATCCAGAAATATACAGGAAAATGACTCTCACATTAAGGGAAAAGGACAACCCCCGGTTAACTAAAAAAATCTGGAAATAACACTTGAAAACCAGATTCATGTCAATATATAGGAGGTATGATTTGCTTTCCTTCACAAAGGCTATAGACCTGGGGGAAATATCTACACATTAGGGATAAAAATAGCAGTAAAGGCAAAGTGGTTTGGACAAGTTAGACTATTGCCTACAGGTATGAATCTTTATTTTCCTATATTTGTATATTTGCACAAATATAATCACTTCTCATGATATAGGGAAAGCTCACTAGATCATGAAAAGAAAAATGTTCATAAAGAGCAAAAGTAGATAAAGGATGGCATTCTATTAGACAACATGGATTTTCATTAACATGAACTGCGCTCATTATGTATTTGTTAGATGGATGAATGATCCAACAAATAATTGCAGGTGGTTCTCAAAGCTGAATAGCCTTTACCTTTATGATAATAAGACTCGTTATTTGGGGAAAAAAAATTACAGCAGCTGCAAAATATTTATGATTAGGAATAAAATAAGATGAATAAAGTAAATAAGTTAATTTGTTGGCAAAAATAACTTCTTGGTTATATGTACAGCTTTTATGTAAAGATTAAATTGAAGTTCTACCAAGGGTCTGTGGACATTATGTGAGTTTTGAGATTCATCACAGGGCTAACTCGTCTCAAATTCCTATAGGGTAGGACACAGAGAATTGATCTTCATGGGAAACCATAATTTTAATAGCTTAAATACTCTCTATGCAGTAGTTTGATAGTTCATTTAAACAGTGTCCAAATTGCCAGAATCTCTTATGAAAAAATCAGGCATTCGAGGACAAAGACGAAGTCAGTATTTCACAAAGTGGGGTGTGGGATCTCAGCGATCCACTATGGCTTAAGAAAGGAACAGGACAGCATCGGGGGACTACGTTGAACCAGGGTGGCAGAAAGGGAAGAGAACAGTGCCAGTTGTGTCAATGGGCAAAAAAAGGGAAGGATTCTATTTTCCTCTAAAGGTCAGAGAGAAATAAATTTTTCTGTGATTCCTAACAAGGTAATCACTTACTTGCAAAGTTGACTGTCAAAGAGTATTTTCTAGAAGAAGTATGTGAACACCCCCGTGAAACTGGGACTTAGAGTCATTTTAGCTCATGACTATAGAAGCATTTACTTCTGCCCAAAATATCACCTGGCCAGGAATTAGATGAGGCAGGGGCCTGCAAAAGTGACAGATCCTACATTTTTGGACCTCTACAAAATCAGTGAGACTTGAACCGAGTATCTGGAATTTCTATTATTTTAGAGAGACTTTTAATGAAAAGAAAACAGCAGCTCACACTGCTAAAAGATATTTGCCCGTACAAACACAGGGGCCCCTGGCCCGACGCAATGCCCATAACAGCTTCTTGTTTCCAGCTGCAGAGAGAACTCAGATCTCTGGGATCAGAAAAATTGTATTAATTCTACCCAGAAGTATAAAAACTGGCCCCACTGTAATATCAGTAATCATGAGGTCTCCACTGATCATAATCTTTTAAAATTATACCTGATCTACATCTGTATAATATTTGTTCTTAAGCAAATAGCAACCAGGGGATACCAATCTGCATTTATATGTTTACATGGGGCAAGGCTGTCCTTCAAACTGATACACATCAAAGTCCACATACACAAACAGAGGCACAGTAGGATCCTCTGCCCACAGTATATACAGTAGAAGTTAATTTATCTGTTTTTTTTAAACAACTAGAAGCTGATGCAACTTGATTTCTCATTTGCCCTATAACAATCATCATTCTAATAACTAAAATCCAAAAGAATGGCAATGCAGTACTTTGGAACACTTGGTTTAGCATTTATTTATCAGAAAAATTGTGATTTTTTCGTTGTCATTTTTGGAGGCAAGAGGGCATAGTGAGCAAAGAAAGGACATATCACAAATTAACTGTATTTTGTTTGTTTGCTAAATGACACCACTCATTTTTTTTTGTCTCTGCATAAGGTAATAGAACATTTACATTTTCTTTACTTCATCTTGAAGACCCCTACTTAGTCATATGTAACATGTTTGCCTGTTAAATTCTGCAAGGTGGTGTTTATTTAAAAAAAAAATAAATAAAATTTTCTTTACATTTAAAAAGTGATAAAGGAATAAGAGAATGAGAAAAAATTGTTCATTGTAATGCTTTAAAGCAAGTTTTCACAAGTGGAACCATATATGCCTACTTTCAGCTAAACCCAACAAATGACAATTTTAAATGGCAAACTTATTTTTTTACTATGCAAAATCCATCCTACATTTTAATATCCTGCATTTAACTTTGCTATATTATACTTGTGGTTAGTTTTCTAGTTTGATTTATTTAATAATATTAAAATCATTTAACATCTGATAACCTAACTAAATCTACATCTTATAGCATTATCGTGGTTCTGTCCAGTTATATACATGCTTTCATGATCACCTTTTCTATTACCTTATGAACTACATATACTAGTTAAATTATCAACAATTACAGATGGATGAATAATTCCAGTTTTGAAATAAAGGTTAGATAGCACTAGAAAAACTTGTATTTACATCCTTCCCTGTCAGGCTTAAACAATTTTAATTTTCTTTTCATTTTTGATACCTCAAGAAGCACATTAATAGTCCTTCCAACTTCATCTAGCAGCAGAGCCTCACAGTTCTTTTCTTGATTTTTCCTTAGCATTGTAAATATGCACAATCTTCATGCCATGTCTTTCTTTTAGAAGGTATTAGCTCACACACTATAGCATTTAGAAGAACACTATTTCTTCTCTTAAGTTAGATATTCAGTCCTTCTCCCTAATCTACAAAAAAGAATCACTTGATTTTAGTTTGTGTGTTTTAATAGAAATTTGAGTTTTGCATTGTTTTTCATGCTAGTTTAAGAATGTTACTGGAGAAAAGATTCTCATCCTAAGCTGTGCTACTAATATTGTGCAGAAAACCAAGAGTTGCTTGGTAGTCTAACAACTTTTGTGATGCAGATACTTTGTGGTTCTGGATCTACCCTAGATCGGAGGCCATCTTTCCTCACCTGCTTAAGTACCACTTTCTTTAGGCAATCATTTAACTGCAAAGTTTTTCCATGCCTGAAAATAGGATTGCCCAAAATAGGTATAATCTACAAAGTCGGGTGATTTAAAAAATATAGTCAGTGTAATTCTAATACTAATTTGTTTCAAATTTACATATCGATTCTGCAAATTTCAGTTGCTACAATTGGCCTCTGGAATCTGATATCCCCGAAAGCACCTTGAAGACTTTAACTGACATTTTAAAATTCTACCCTACTGGGCTAAATAAGTTATTGTCTGGAACGAATGAAACTTTTTTTCTCCCTCTTATACATGCTGAAATGTGTTTTCCCAGGGGGGACAAAAATAAAACAAAAAACACTCAAACAACTGAAGTCAATTATATACTACAGAAATCATTCAAAAGAATTATAAAGTGGTGCTATTATAAAGCATTTGGGTCATTTTGGATTATGCCTACCTCTGTCTCTAGGTATTACCCGACATGTAAAAGTCTTGTGTTCTTAGGAGGAAAGAGACTACATTCACTAAATATATTTCTGTTACCTTAACAGTTAAAAGTCTGTTTTAACTATTTATTTTTTCCTTCTCCAAAATGAGTGATTCTGCTTTCTATATCCCAGTAGAAACCATATGCATAGTGTAAATTAGAAAAAAAAAAATCAAGGCATAGTATCCAAAAAGAGGGCTGTGATGACTCGGTGCAGATTTATTTAGAAAGGGAGGCTTATATTCCATTTTTCATAAGTACTGATATGAGATTCCTTTTCCTAGAGACTTCTCTGAATGGATAGGAGAGCTCTGAGTTGTTAGGTTATGGCCCCTGAATCACTCTGTCTTTAACCCTGAAAAGTTTGAGGGTGAACTTCCCTAGAAGGAACCTCACAAATCCTTCCCCTGCTCTACTGTACTTTTTCAGCTTGCCTCACTTCTTATAGCTTAGAAGAAAACCAACAACTCCAGTGTCTTCATCATTCTTGGCCAAGGACCACCATCTGCTTTTGGTTTAATGGTGAAGTTAGAATCTAGATAGTTTAATTAGCCAGTGATGCAATATTCTTCTAGACCAGTTTATGTTTGAATAATATTACTGAAATTATCCTATTTGTCAATATCAACAATTTGAAGGATGTGTAACTTATATCCCAAATGAGTTCAAAGGAGATATGTTACAGTACAACTGATTATATGACAGCTATTCACAAAAGAGACTATGCAATCTGATTCTTTGAACTCATAGAAAAATTAAAATGTCATTTTAATTAAATCTCCTAGATGATAGAATTTTGAAGTTGGGGATGATATTCCATTTATCTGAGTGTTCCCCACAAAATACGGTGCTTTTAGTAGACACAGTTAGATAAAGGAGATTTGGATAGATGGATGGATTTACTTATTCAGAATAGGAAGAAAGAAATTTCTTTGCATTTTTTTTTTCTCTAAACTTTCTCTGCCTTAATAGATATTTTTACTCTAATTAAGTAATCTTATACTATTGACTCTAATTTGGTCCCAATATTTTAACATTAGAAAGAAGTATTTTTTAAAAATCTAAATGACTTGGGGTAGAATTTTCAGAAAAGGGGGACTTATATCTAAGTTTCCTAATTATTGATGTGAGGCCCCCTTTACCTGGAGACTCATCTCTGTCATTTGTTCCCATCCTTCATCATCAGGTATTCTTTCAAAATGATACATAATAATGATGGTTCTAGTACTGGATGCAGTATATGAAGAAAAGGAATTATATAAAGTATCAAAAGATTAGTGTGTTGGATAATAAAATAATTGCATGAGAAGATTTTTCACATTTATTTACAACTTTGAGCCAAGGACCTATCCATAAGCTTTGAATGTTTGTGTTTTTCTTTTTATTATACCAATTTATGTGCAAAGAGTTACCTTCTACTTCATATAAATAGAGTCTCATACTAGAAATTCCATGGAATTCAAGCCAATCCTTACTCGCATTCCTTCTTATGAAGTATACGAATTGAACAAATTTCCTTGCGTAGCAAAGGTGATATATGAAGATAATGTGCTGGCCTCTCATCATAGTCCCTGGATACCATTGCAAGGTTCCTAATTTGCTTGGTTTGGCGTTTCCACAGTCTTTATCTTAGCTCTTTTTTTAAAAAAAATGTACTTAAATTAGTTAATTTGCTGGTTGCTTCCATATTGCTTGATTCAAAATCCAAAATGGAGTTCAGAAAAAGAACAAATAAAATTACAGCTTAAGTGCAAACTACATTTCTGAGTATCTGCCAGGTAGACATACCCAATCCAGTGTGTTTCTTCCAGTTCAATAGATTCCCTCATTGGACCAACCCTGAAAGTATCAGTAGTTTTCTTGAATCACACAGAACTGTCTCTTAGTTTCCCTTCTACTCTTCAGACAACCAATGGCCTATCAAGTAGTGTCATTTATGGAGGAAAAAAAATGTTGAAAAATGTAAAGGATGAGGGTGAAGATAATTTGATAGCATGAAAAATGAGAGCTAAAATAAAAATATTAGCCTCCTTTTCTTATTTTAAAGATTGTATACGTAAAGTAGTGGTCATTTCACTATATTAAAATATTTCTTAAATTCTGTGAAGAAGCTTTGATGTAAACATCTTTGCGATTAGAAATTAAAGCCAAAAATTGGGGAGCAAATATAAAGGAATTGGTCAGAGCAAAACAAAATGAAAAAAAACCAAAAAGGCTTCGAAACAATTACTAGTTATAACTTTGACAGAGATTTTTAAATTATGAAATTTGAGTTGGCCATTCTTACTTTCCAGGACAGAAACTGCTGGGGAAAGAAACTGGATTCTCAATTTCAGACACTATCATATGTTTGTTATAGAAAATGTTATTCTTTTATTCTAATGGAAACTTCATTATGATTTCCAGGGATGCTAAATATGCACACATCAGTTCCTGCAGATAGGAACAGATAGCATGGGTGTTTCAACCATCTGCTTAAAAAAAAAAAAAGAAGGAAAAATAAAAAGAAAAAAAAGTGACAGCTAGTTTGATAGCAGGCGGTATTGCCTTACATTTTCTGGTCCTTCTCTAGCTGTTTCATTCTCCCAACCAACCCATGCAGAGAAATGAAGAAACATTGTGGTTCCGCCTATCTTTCTCTTTCAGTCTTTCCCTCTAATGTTCAAGTTAGATAAGCACATAACTATCATGGCATCTCTATCTTCCACTGGGAAGTGTCAAAACTACTGGCCTTGGGGTAGAAGGAAGACCACCAGAGAAAGACAGGGGGTGGGGAAATTGGAGCGGGTGTGTCTCTCCACCTAAAAACCACAACTGAGCTTACACTACAGTATTTCGGTGTCTGTAAGGTGGAGGCGGCAGCACAGTGCCTGGCTTCAGGGAGAACTCAGAGAGGTATTCCGGATTCTCTGCCACAATAGGCCGGATCCGCCCATTCTGTTTATAAAAATATTTTGTGCTGTACTCCTGCAGGTAGTCTGGGTGCTGAAGGGTGCTCCGAGGTGGCAGGCTGTGGTTCCAGTAGTCAGGGTTGTCAAACGCTTTCTTGGCCTTCTCTGGCATAGACAGTACATTGTTCTTCAGGTAATCAGCTTTTCCCAAGGCGTTGGCAAAGGTGTTGAGGTACAGCGGCTCATTCACATACTCATCCTCGGCCTTGGGTGGACCATTGGATGCACTGTGATATTCGGGATTATCCAATGCTTGAAGGTCTCCATTTTTTCTCCGAGAAACAAAAGGGTTCTCCTCCACTGGATTCAGGTATTCTAAAGGAATAAAAAAGAAATCAGCTAACCTCTACTTTCTGGAAAATATTAATCAGAGCAAAGTTATACATAATGGTTAGCTGCTTTGTCTAGAACAAAAAACCACAGATTTGTTTTCATGATTTCTCACAACTATTTGTGGATTACCATGGTCTTATGAAAAAAAGAGTAAGGGGGCCAAACATGTTTACAAAAAACAAGAAGCCAAGGAGGCCAGAATCAGAATTTCTATCTCCTAAATTTTTATTTCTTTCTAATTGCATTTGTCTCTTCTGCATATGGGGCTGATTGTTTCAATGTTTTTGTTTTCTAAAACTTATTTATATTAGGAAATAAGACTGCCTATTAGGATTAAATAGCCTTTAAATATACAGACAGCTTAATTTCTATAAAGGATATTGAAAAACCAAAGAGTCTATAGCTGAGTTCCATGCCAAGATGAATAGATGGAGTGAAGAAATCATGTTTTATTAGTCTCTATGGTTTGCTATGGTTGCCTATACTGGTAAAAAGGATTTGATTGGAGATGCTCCTGACAAAAGTTTTACACATGGAAAAGAAAGCATCAAAGGAAAAAAATTCAACTAAAAAAGCAAATCTAACAGATAGCTAACATGCCTCTAGCTGACTTGCTTGACATTACATATACTTCTACTTAATAATAAAGTATAATTATAATATTTCCATTGACCAATCATAATCACAAAATAGCAAACTATCAGCTTGAATCATATGAAATAGCCATTTTGTATATTGAAACCAGTCAATTAGTGCCTATTTTGTGAAATAGCCATTTTGTATATTGAAACCAGTCAATTAGTGCCTATTTTGTATGGATCAATCTAATAAATCCATCTAGTATAGGTATTGGCCTAAACGGTGCTAATAATTACCACCATTCTCCTGAATCTTAATTCTACATCTATGTCTATAATATAAACTGCACATAGACATATACACATATATATTGTAGGTCCTCTAAATAGTCCTCTCTTTTACTATATATGCAAAGCCCTAAGCTATTCCTATTTTGAATTCAAGGCATCAGGAGGACACAATTCCTTGTTGAGAGGCCATTCTGAAACAAACTTTCTATCTCTTATCCTTAGCCCAACAAGTAGAGAGAAAAATTCTATTAAGCCAGGATTATTTTTCTCCAAATGTATATATACAGAATAGGTAAGTATTTAGCATCATTTATTCAAGTGAAAGGGCAGTAATGAATATCCCACTATCATATATAGGACTTTATAAGACACTATCATTTCATCCTCACAATTCTGTGAAAAAGAAGTACAAGACTTATTTTTCCAGCTTTGTAGACAGAAAAATGAGATTAAGTGATGTATGCAGGATACAATTAGTGTTGGGATGGAATTCAGGTCTTCTAACTCCTCTTGAGTAATCTTCTTATTCTACTGCACTGTTTCTTATTATTGCCCCTGCAGGAGTTGGGTGAACTTTATGCTTAGCCACAAGTTTTACTTTGACAAGCGTATGAAAACACTTATAAGCAACGTAGAATTTGATTTTTCTTACCAGATTTCTAAAACTTCTTAATTGAAAGAATAGGAATGTCTATACTAAAATTCTGTCCTCTCTGAGTATGAGGTGAGACTATAGCAATCTTTTATAGAAATGGAGCTTAGTGTTCAGAGATAAAATCTGAGAATACAGTGTGACTATATAGGGTGACTTGCTTTTCTCTCAGCCTTACATTACCTTTCCTCAATGCGATCTACTTATATATTATCCTGATGCAAACTTGTATAGCTGTCCAATAACTTTACGGTTGAAGTGAAAATGTCCCCAGAAAGGCTTCTTCTTTGGGGTGAATCCACCAAATCTTCATAAAATCTACATTTGTGTCATTACTAGGCTACTATGAACATCCAAACTCTTCATTACATTTTTATATGTGTAAAAGTTTTATATGTGTAAAAGTTTTATCTAGACAGATATATTTTAAAAGGTTATTTACAATTAGAGATCTTTAAATTTTACTCTGAAGGAGAGAACATAACCTTATAACAAGCCCTTCTCAGAGTTTTAAAATGTAGTTTACTATTGACACTAAAGACTGCGAGAGACATGATCATTTTTTAATAACAATCATCTATCTTCTCTATTGTGATACTGTTAGCGTAGAAGAAGAAAAGCTGTTTTGTTGCAAAATTGAAGCATTATTTGATTTGGGTGCTTAACATTTCTACTACTAACTTTACAAAATTTTTGTTGTGCTTTGTAAAACCACAAACTATTATTTTCAAATCTTGATGGTATGCTTGTAAGTATATACAGGGTCAAAACTTTAATTTTTGAAAATGTCATATAAAAACATAATATTTCCCTATAATAAACTAGGTTGTTTAAATGACACCTTTTAAATGAGTCAAACAAATCATTTATTAGCGCCATCAAAAGCATCAGGCACATTTGCCAACAATACCAGTCTTTATGATCTCCACAATTAAGTCCAATAAAGCTATGGTCCTGACACTTTGTGGTCTGCTACCTCATACAAATATTTCAACAAAATATGTTTAGAATAGTGACTCTCAAGACTCATTGCTGTATGCAGATAGCCTGGGGATCTTGTTAAAATTCAGATTCCTATTCAGATGGGGCCTGCCTGAGATTCTGATTTTTATAAATAATAATAAATAATGTGGATGCTGCTGATTCAGGGACCATACTGCAAGTAGCAGTAGCCTAGGCCTTTACTAGGTCACAAATGTTGTGCTGTACAACTATCTGGCAATTTCCATTCTGTACTTTGTTTATCTTGATGGAAGTGAACTTCAAATGGCAATCATTTTTGAATAATCAGTTCGTACCTTGTTTGGGTTTGTCTCGCATAGGAGTCATGTAACCTTCCTCATCCAGCTCTCCTCGTGGGCTCCGTTCTGGGGCAAACACGGTGGGGTCAGCGCTGTACCTCTGGGTGCTACTGTCCTCTTGGACATGGGGTGCCACTGGCTTGCGTAGGGTGCCATTACAGCAGGAGTCATCAAAAATCTCAGCTGTAGCACCCTGTGCAACAGGAGCTTCTGGAATTGTGCTAGTTGGGGCTCTGTAGGGCACAGACACTCCTTGTTCTGCAGCAAAACCTCCATCTCGGTATACAAACTGATTCTGTTAATAAGAGAAACATATTTAGAGAGAAGGTGTTGTTAGAAATAGTTTAAAAATGAATGTTAATAGCCACAAGGATGTCAAAGCCGGTCTTTTAGAGAATAGTCATAGTATTTATTTATTTTTCCCTAGTGGCTAATGAATTTGAGTTACAAACTAGAAACACCTAAAATTTCCGCTTTTCTTAAAAGACAAATCATCAGAAAATAATTTTGAAGTACACATTTTAGTTTTATTAACCAACTGTAACATAATCTAATAAAAAGTATTTGATGCCCTTTTCCCACAAGTGCCTGTATTTAATATAAACTTCAAAGTGAATTTTTATGATAAATGGGAGTGTCATTATAGACAGTTGTCATTAAGAATAGAAGTATATGGATATATTTTGAATAATCCTTTGTCTTTATTGCCTTCTAAAATTCTGTGGTTATTATGAATTTGAGGCTCTAGTACCTAACTAGAGGATCATCACTATAATTCTGACTTTTTAGTACATGACCTATACTCAGGAAAGTAAAGATCACCTCCACATCCAGAAGCATAATTTATATGCACAGGTAAATCCTTCAGATAAAAATTGAAAGCTACTGTTGATGCATGAGATCTCAATTTCGTATTATCAACTGAGATATAAACACATCTACAAAGGCAGCTACACAATGTACAGCAAATTCTTAACTCACTGTTGGCAAAGGCAAAATGAGGAAATTGTGCAGAGACAAGAGAGAGGAAACATGGTAAGCAAAGACCAAAAATCCTAAAAGATGAAGGTTGATTGTGAAATACTTACTCCTGACATGGGGGTGTAGGCAGGAGGAGGGCTGTGTCCAATTTCACTCTAATAGGAAAGAAAAATGGAATGATGGATATAATAAGAGGCAATATGAATGAAAAAATTAAAAAAAGAAATGAAAAAGAAAAGCCACATGAGTCGTATGAACCAAAGGGGGAAAAGTGCACAACAGTGAAGCTTCCTAAGCAGTGACATTGTCTGTATTCTGACCATAAGCAAGCTTATTTATATGTTTTGAGGAAAATAGATATTTTAATTCAATCCCTGAAAAGGCAAATTATACAGAAAAAGCAAAATTTTTCAATGGATTAGAAAGTAAATAATAAACTTTCTTCTGATTAACCCTACTGGAAAGGAAAAAGTAGTAAATAAACTATAGATGTAAATAGGAAATGGTTTCCTTCTTTACATGTCAAAAGATTGAAATGACCATATACACTGCTGTTATTTTTTCTCTTAGAATAAATATTTCTGGAAGGAGATAGCAGGAGATTTCGACTTGCCTGCAGTAATTTTTGCTATCAAGCTACATTTATTTTTCGCCACTTCAGCAAAGGGTAAACTCCTTTGTCTCTCCTTATTAAAAGGTATATGCTATTTTATCTTCAGTCTTACTTTTTTTTTTTTTTAAGAAACAGCAGAAAATTTGGAAAATCAATTCATTTCCTGGAAACATGCTTTAGATTCCCCTATGTATTTATAATGAGTCAAAATCAGATTTCAGTTAAAGAAACAACAACAAAAATACATGTATATTTTTATAGCTTAACACTCCATCCTATGGGCTAACTGAAAGAGGATATAAAAATATAATAAAATATGAAGGACAGTGTTCTTTAGGGTAAGGAAAAGGAGTTGTATGATACTAATTCTGTTTCTTAATTAAAAAAATACATTAAACACATTTTTTGAGAACCTACTGTCTATGTGCCAGGCACTTTTCTAGGCACAGGGATAATGCAAAACACAGACCCAAACCGCTTGATTTTATGAAGCTCATATTCTCTACAATCCAGCTTTAAGTAAACAGAGATGACTAAAATCAACCTCTAAGGTACCTTACATCTTTTTTGTTTGTTTTTTTGAGATGAGTCTCGCCCTGTCGCCCAGGCTGGAGTGCAGTGGCAGGATCTCGGCTCACTGTAAGCTCCGCCTCCCGGGTTCATGCCATTCTCCTGCCTCAGCCTACCGAGTAGCTGGGACTACAGGCGCCTGGCACCATGCCCAGCTAATTTTTTGTATTTTTAGTAGAGACGGGGTTTCATCGTGTTAACCAGGATAGTCTCGATCTCCTGACCTCGTGATCCGCCTGCCTCAGCCCCCAAAGTGCTGGGATTACAGATACTTAACATCTTTTATATGAAACAGATAAATATTATTCCAGGTCACTGTTCATATGATTTAGATTCACGAAGCATTCTAAGAAGAATATGGTCCCATGAAGATTAAGTATTTAAAGTAAATCAGTAACAACTGGATAATATAATCTCCCTTAACTAACTTAGTCTGCTGGACTAATCAAGGGACACGGTCTGAACCCCTATAGTGAGTTTATATTTTAATTTTCCCCATAACTATGGTGGCATTAGAATATTTATCTATTTTCTTCTTTAGTAACATAACTAACAACACATCAAAGATTATGACATGGAAAGTCAGAGATATATTTAATATGCAATACATAGGAGGTGCTACTGTGCAACAGACAGATCGTTTAATGACCTGGGCTTTAGTTCCAATGATAAGTGGTGTGAATTTGGTGAATCATGAAACATGTCAGACCCTCGTTTTCATTCTTGGTCTCTCTATTTTATTATTAATAAATATGAAGTAAGATAATGCATATGAATGAACTTTGTAAACTCTGCACTATTATAAAAATGTAAAGAACATATCACATTTAAATATTCATATCCACTAAATTGAATTTCTAAAATAAAGCAATCAGGATGCCAAAGCTACTCATCAAAGAGGCATTTTAAAATGCTCATCTATTCTCTAATCATCTTAAATATAGGCATGTTTTACTATATTTTAGAAATACCTGAAATCCAGTACATTTGTTCTTAAAATTTGAGTAGAGAATTTTTTATAGTCCAGTGATTTGTAATATAGAGTGACAGTACAGGAAATATGGAACTGCCTGGTGGAACTTCACCAAACTACAAACACTGGCCTTACCCTCTTCATTAAACACCAATTATTTGGCAAGTACTTCACAAATATTACTAAATCTCTACAGTAAAAGTACAGGCACTGTGGTAGATGCCAGCGATACCATGATACACTAAGAAAGACATGACCACTGTCCTTTTAGAATTTACACTATTGATTATAATCTGAGATTGTTGGAAGGAAAGGCAAGAATGAAACAAGGCAATTTATTTCAATTCTATGATTCTATATTAGAATGCAAGGTATTCCGAAATATTCATAATTACTAGTGCTCCTTTGACCTCTTACCTTGCAAAAGTTGCTGTACTGGGTAATGTTTGACTAGAATTACAGCTGAGAAATGAGTATTGATTGCACATTTTGCACTTTACAAAACCTGAGACATAAACAATCAAAGGAACAACTTACAAGTCATTCTTCATCGGGGAACAGTTTATTATCTATATTCATTATCTGGGCTAGAATGGCTTCCATTGTAAAGGCAATGGATTAAAATAACTGGGACTCTTGCGGTTAGTCTGTTCCAAGACAGAAAGCGAGGCCATGCCCTATTAGAATGCATCCACTGTCCCTGCTTTGACAAGTCTTTCAGTCAGCAACCTGCCAACTCCATATCTGGACAAACTGCCAAATAGCATCACAGTAATAGGAGCATCTTCATGAATTTTCCTGTTTTCAGCATTAAAATGGAAAAAAATGCTAAGCAAAACCCCTTTAGCATTCATTGTTTTTAGGGTTACTGGCTGCTTTTTATGTTTCTGTTTCCATTTTTTCAGTTTGCTTTTTTATCTGTTTTCCATGATAAAAAGCACCTCATTCATTTCCCCGTGGAAGGGCAATGCAGCTCCAAGGGAACATCTGTGAGGCCAATTAGCTGGGCTGGAAATGTGATATAATTGTTGTTTAAATATATTTAAATTACATGTTAATCACGATGTCATAATTTATAAGCTTTGAAAATAACTTTTTGTACTTCAGAGCCAAGCCAGATTTTACTTGTTTTTGCTGTTTTTAGTTTGAAACAAGCTCTTCTCATTTCTCTCTCCCTCAATTCCCCACACTTGAAGAGCTGAACTTTTAATATTGGAAAGAATGACAGCTGCAAGTAAATTGGTTGAGTAAAAATTAAGATCCTCACAGCAGTCAAAATGAGCTGGAGTGACCTTAAAGTTCTAAGCAGAACAAAGCAATGCTCTCAGTTAAAAGCTTTTGTTTTTCCATTGTGCTACTTTCTGCTGTCCATCAAAGTCCAGCTTTGCAGATCTTTAGGAAGCAGCACTGGGTGCATCTGTTCAATTAGCTGGTGAGGCAATTTACTGTCAGCAGGGCAGAGATAGAAAGAGGTGGGTTATGAACTGGCAGGTGACACTGAGTTTGTTCCTGGTGGGGGGCGTTTGTAAGGGTGATGGATGGAATGAGTTTAATTCTGTGGCCATATCACTGGGACATTGTATGATTAACTTGGATTTAAATGCCAGAGATTACAGAGAAGGCAAGTATCAGCAAATAAATCAAATACAGTATTAAATGCACTTTTAAATACATCATGTTCTAAAATTTACTTTTTTGTTGAATGATAAATATTAGAACCTTTGTCACATTTTATGCACAGTATTTCTTATATTTGTATTGTTTATAGTGTTCCTGAGAAATTTTAATTATTAAATAGATGGACTGTATCTCGTGATATTTAAAAAAGTTATTATACAAATCTACTTTCAGAGAAAACAAAAATACAGGCCTAATGCCTAGCTTCTATCTAAATTAAACATGTAATCAATGAGAGTCATTTTCTAATCTTTAAATAACTATTACTTTCAACAGTAATTATAAGATTACAATTTCTAGGTTCAAGAAATACTCCAAATTCTTTTGACTAAAATAAAATGTCTCTGTAAGACGTTGCTAATCCATCGGCACTAATTTATTATCTAGACACTTCCACATAGTAACTATTAAAGGTTCTCAACCTTTTATCCTCCCTGACATATCTGCTTAACACTCTGATAGGCATTTCCACACTTTCAGAGGTCACATAGCAGCATACAAAAAATGTTTATTGCATTATCTTATTATAATTATTGTATTAAAAATTATAATTCCTGATGCATGGTTGTAACTCTGCATCTTTCTCACAACTGAGTTCAACATACCAGTGTTTCGAGACATTTAGATTTAGAACCTTCATTTTTCACAGGGCAATCAGAAGGAAACAAAGAAAATGTGTCCGTATGTGCCAAACCCAAAAATGGCTGGGAGAAGCCTATTGAGATTTCAGCTGCTGGCTGAATTTTATATATATTACACATAATATCTTTTGTCTATTTATGTATACATACATTTATTTACTCATTTTTCTATTTGGTTTGATTCTGTGGGACTCTACTTTTTTGAAGAATCTCTCTTACTCTGCACACACACACACCCAATATGACTCTATGGTCCAGTTGAAGAAATATTGACTTGGGCTCTTATTCTTTTTTGTTGCTGTTTGTTTTTCGAGACGGAGTCTCGCTCTGTCACCCAGGCTGGAGTGCAGTGGCGCGATCTCGGCTCACTGCAATCTCTGCCTCCCAGGTTCAAGCAATTCTCTGCCTCAGCCTTCCAAATAGCTGGGATTGCAGGCTCCCGCCACCATGCTTTGCTAATTTTTAGAGATGGGGTTTCACTATCTTGGTCAGGCTGGTCTTGAACTCCTGACCTCGTGATCCACCTGCCTCAGCCTCCCAAAGTGCTGGGATTATAGACATGAGCCACCGCGCCTGGCCAGCTCTCATTCTTTATTCACTCATTAATCTTGGAACCTTTCATCTTTCGTATATGTCTCATGTACTCATTTAATTAAAAAATTTAATAAATGGAAGCTATGA